AAGGTATGTTCCAGAAAACATATATAAACCACCTACTGTTAAAATACAGATCAAAAACTAATGCACTAGTTCCAGTTTCCAAACCAATAATAGCTAAATGGTCATATAAATAGGAGCACCACAGGTGTTCTGCTAAGCACAGGCCACCCTGAATAACAATTTATGTTGTGTGAAGCATAGCTGGAAATATTGGTAATAGAAACTGTGGTACAGGAGGTTAACAACACACCAAGTGGATAAGACTTAAAGCTCTTAATAATGACCAAAAAAAAAAAAAAAGTATTTTATAAAAAGCCTTAACAAAATAAGCTTTGAATTTCATCAGCAGTGTTTTTTAATGGGCAAGGTCTCCAAAGGTCTCAAGGAGACACTTCAGCTGGACACAGTTCCCTGAGATGTTTGGAAGCCTCGTGTGAATTTCTCCACATCTCAGTTTCAAAGGGATTCGATGGCAGGAGCATGTCAGCCTTCAGCTCTGAATAAATCCATGTGCAATCCAATGCTAGAAACACCACCAAAGGGGCTCCAGGTGTCATGCCACGTCTCAGCAATGGGCAAGGAACCACATGCTGACCTGAGCAAGGCTGCACCCCCACGGGTTTGCCTCCAAACCCCTTCCTCATCATTTTTATCATCCATATTTCTGTTGATCCCAGGGAGAGGGAGTAGGCAACTTCAGCACGTGAAGGCTGTGCTATGGTTATGACATGGGGCCACATTTCCCTGCACACCTCACTGGTGGTCCAGAGCTGTCAGGAACATGGGAGCTGGGAGGGGCTTCTATGGGATCTCACCCCCTGCCTGCTCCGCGTCCAGGATTTGGGGAGCACGGCATTTAATTAAAGAAAGGCTGCTTGCTCTGGGATGCCTCCCAGCTTGTCGCTGGCATTTCTGTGATTGACAAACAGGCAAAAATATATTTGTTCAAGGATTATCTATATTGAAAACTGGATGCAGGATTTTGTCTTTGTAAACAGTGCAGTAATATCTGCTGTTTGAACAAAAGGAAGGCTATACTTTCCTTCCATTTAAAGCACAAAAAGCTCCCCTATTTGAGTGAAAGGGGAAGACATTCTGTTTTATTGATCCAGCTTGCTGAAGATTTGGGTTTTTTTTAATAAGATCTGTGACTAAGGGAGCACTGGGTTGATTTTCGCGTTATTGGAAGGGTTATTACGAAGCACATAGCATATAAGTTATTAGAGAGATGTGTGTCCTTGAAAACAGCCCTTAAAATCTTGCACAATTAGGAAAATTCAGAATGATCCAGCATATTTCCTCATAGCAAGAAAAGTCACTTTGATATATTGAGGACCCAAAACGTAACACTGCATTGCTTTGAATAATAATTTTATTTTGAAAAGCCATATTTGAAGAGAGCACTTTGTTACAGATGGGAACACAGCTATTTTCATGGACCTAAATTAGGCTACAGAGAAATAGCTCCTTCAAAATGAACACCCTTCTTGATAGTTTCATTGTTGCTCAGATGGATCTTTCTCTATCATCTACCTACAAATAATGCCATAGATGTTCATATATGAAAGGATCAAGTCAGTACATCAGCCATGTGTGTTGGTCGAGGGATGAGCAATACACAGGATTATAAAAGACCTTCCCCCAAATATTTGTCAGTTAAATCTACTGTTCATGCACAATACTGAACTGGCTGCCCTCCAAGGTAGGCCTTTTTATCCACAGAGCAGCAGCAGAATAAGAAACTGAAAATTTCACCCATCATAAATGTGCTTTTACTGTGCTCTGACAGACAACAGCAGCGGTGCCAGGGTCTGGTTTTGGCCAGCTGAGCACAGGACCCCTCCTTTCCTAGAACTTGTGCTGACTTAGTGGGACTCACACACATGCTCAGGGCTGCTTTCCAGAGAGAAGCAAATGTCTAAACACTTTGACAAACCTGGGCTAGATTTGAAAGCAAAGCTCTTTCTCTGCTTCTTCCTCCCTTTTCTCTGACTGGATGCTGCTAAACCAGTGCTGTGTGGAACTGGGAAGTGGCCTCTGTACAGGTGGCAGTGCCATCACTCTCATCCCCTTTCACACCACCACCATGCTGGACATCAGCCTTGGCATTGCTCAAGAAGACCCAGCAAGCAGTCCCCATCAAATATTACCTTCTCAGTGTCAGCACATTTCCTGATTTCTCTGTCCTTCCAACCTTGGAATGCTGTCTGGTATTGGGACAGTCTCCTTGTGCACCACATTCAACCCATCAGGTATGACTTGCTCTTGTGCTCTGAAGTCTTTGTTAAATTTCTTCTTCCTTATTTTTTCAGTCTGGCTCCTCTGTCCAGTTTGTCTTGGAGTCAAATTTACATTCTGGAGTCGAAACTCACTCTGTTACCCCCTACACCTGCCTGTGCCTTCTTTTGGAATGGGGAAACAGGGTTGTCTCAAGGAACAACTATTTTGTCCAGAAGCCACGAATTCTTGCAAACTTCAGCAAATCATGCTGCCTTTCTGCTATGATTCCCCAGGGCTTAAAAATTAGGCTTTGCCTTACAGCAGCATCACAAGGATTAATTCATGTTTATGGAATGCTTTCAGTACATAGTGGGTGCTTATATCATGATCATGCTTATATTATGATTTCCAACAACGTAACTCCATTGACATTTGAATGGCTTTTTACACTAGGATGAATATGCCCAGAATTAGGCAGAGAAATATCTCTAAAGAAAAGGCAGGTTCCTTGTAAAGAATTTAATTTCAATACTCATTATTACCTTCTAATTGATGATCTGAACACAGTTCCTTATTTTGGTAAATAAAGCTCAGATGATTTCTTGTGATTTGCATATTGCTAAAATCCCAATATTGTTGAACATATGTTGTTTTTCTGTTTAGCTGCTTCTTTTCTCTCCTTCAATCCAAAATGCAAGGCTTTTTTTAAGAAAATGTCAAATGTTGAGAACAACACTGATATCTTACAAGTTTCCATCTGGACAAAGATATATGTCTAATTTTTTTACTCGTGTTAGATGCTGGTTGGAGGCATAGTACTGTTTGCTGAATTTAACTCTGTTTCTTAAGCTTGCATTATTAATTTTGCGTCATGATAAGATATTTACTCAAAGAGGCAGCGAGTTCTTTCTTTTAAAAGTGATGTTGTTGCAGAAATGACCACTCTTTTTTTTCCCCCAAATGAAGTTATGCAAATCTGATCGACTAAAGTAAATGTTTCATAAAACCAATGACTGTTTAAATTGTGGGACTAAATTGTTTGTATATAAATATTACCTTTTATATTTCATTTGAGTTTTATGTAGATGAACACATTACTTTAATGGCCTGCATTTACAGAGGGAGACAGGGAGAGTCTGACTCTGAAATCCTCAGCAGCCAGATGGCTGCCTTTTCTTGCATGAGATTAAAAGATGTTTCTCATTCACAGCCCTGCTTCGGAGGCAAATTAATATAGCCGGCTAAATTGCTTGTGTTTTTGGAATAAAATTTAAAGAGAACTTTTTAAAGCAATTGGTGTCACAGGTTCCTAGAGCAGATTGCTCTCCAGGTACAGCATGCTGGTTTTAAACATTCAGTAATTAATGGAAAGTATTCCGTGTTAATTGACTGCTTCAGGAAAGGGAAATATAATGACTCCTTATTAATCATGAAAAGAGACATACAGCACGGAGGCACTGCAATAATTGCACTAACGGTTGAGAAATGTTAATTAATGAAAAGAACAATGATGTAAGAAATTAGCACCGTAATGCTTGCTGCTGATGGAGATTCTGCTTTAAACACATTATTTAGCGTGGCAGCCACTGGATGATGCCTTAAATAGCAGGCAACTCATACCCTTTCCTTCAGTCAGCTATGGAGTTCCAAATGTTGCCGGTGTTTTGGTTTTTAATGAGCCAAAATACACTCTCCAGAACTACATTTTCTGAAGCATTTTCAGTTTGAACTCCTGAACTCAAAACTATTCAAACAGATTGACAGTTTTTGACTTACTTAAAAATATTATCAAGTGTAAGAGAGCATGCTAGCATTTGTGTGGTGGGGAAAAACTTCTTAGATGGGCTGAGCTGAATAGGTTTGCCAAGAAGATAATTGCATCATGACTTCTTTCCCCTTTTTAATTTTTCCACTTTTTAACCAACTAGCTGTCCCCCTGAAGAATTTAGAGCAAGCATGTTGTCATATTTGTGCCTAGCTTAAAGTAAAAGATCATAGGCTATTAAAATGCAGTACCATTCTGGCAACTAATCCAACACCAGTAGCATGGAGCTCACAGACATTAACATGCAGGAGGTCCCAAGGTTTCCACTACTGCTCTGCTGCACCTTTAAGACAGCAATAGGGTGAGACGTGTCCATCACTCCAAACATTTTAAATCAGGTCAAACTGTTGGTTAAAAATTCATTTCCTAAAAGTGTAAGTCCTTCTTTCTATCTGTTCGGGGCCAGGATTTAATTCTTATGAATGTCTTCGTATCTTCATAGTCATCTGTGCAAAGAAATGTCAGCCTGTGAGGCGTTCAAAAATTTTGTGTGAATTTTGGCCACCTAAGTCATGTGTTAATTTGACTCTATGACATGAGGATGGTAATATATGACAAGCAGGTAGAGTAGCAAAAGCTCTCTTTCTAGCTCTACCATTGCAAGTGAAAAACTACAGATGCAGGAAAAAAAATTAAAATTCAGCTAAAGACACACTAGATGAACATCCATTGAACACAAAATGCTTTGAGAAAGAACAGCTCCCATTAAGAATCCTCTGCTTGCAGTAACACAGGACAGAAATGCATCCCTTAAGACGATGGCACCACAGCAATCAAAAATCATCACAGAGGGGGAATCACTCCATGGGTGTGTAATAACCCAACAGTGTTTCATGTAGCACAGGACAGAGTCAGGAATGGTTTCATCCCTCATCCCTCTAAGCCATGTGCTGCCCTATTCTGATTTTTCCAGGGTAGCTCTACCGTGGCCATTCCTCCATCCGCGTGCTTTATTGCTGCTGAATTTCTTTTTCAGATGGAACATCCTTGGGCTCCAAGGTGCTCTCCTCAGCTCCTTCATCGAACCCATGTACTTGCACAGCATCATTGTGGGAAGCCTCTACCACACTGGTCACCTTTCCCGGGTAATGAGCCATAGGATAGAAGACATTGGTCAGCTGCCAGCTTCGTACCGGCGCAATCAGCTGCTTCTCAGTGGTAAGCAAACACCTGCCTGCAAGACAAATGATCCCCTCTCCCATCACTAATTGTGCTGGTCACCAACAGGAAAGTTTCTTGGGTTTAAGTAAACCATTATCTCTTGCCTTCTTTCCCCCCCCTTCCCCCCAAGAATATGAATTTGTAGAATGAAGAGACTGATGTGTTTAAATTCAGGTCCTTTTTTCATATGCAGTGGCCACGAAAAAGAGCAGTAGTGGATACAAGCTGACTAGGAAAACAAGTGCTGTACACTGAGCACTCAAAGTGGGGAAAAATGTGCCGCCACTTCTCCTTCCCAATCCTTGTCCCTACCCACATCCTTGGCCTTCTTCTCCATCCCCCTGACTCCCACTTCCTTAACCCCCATCCAATAATAGCTCTCTGGCCTCATCCCAGCAAAATCCATGAAATCTTGAATGCCTTCAGGTCCTCATGAGGCATGTGAGTGATAAGGGCCACCAGTTCTGCATCAGATTAGATCCCCCTTTTACTCTTAGACTTTGATAATTGTTCTTTGGGAGGATTCCCTGAGACACCAATACAATGTCAGCGTCACAGAGTTGAGATGACAGGAAGCTTTAGTGTAGTTCACCATTGCCTTTCAAAGTCCTTTAAGTTCCTCAGTCAGGAGACTGCTGGTTTATCCCTTATCTATTTCATGGTCTTTTTTCTTTTTTCTTTTTTTTTTTAATACGTCCCTGTGACAAAATTAGTTTGGCTGAGGCAGAAGTGATAGTTTAGCCACTGGGGAAATTCTCAGGTTCTGTGTGGTTTAGTACATCTGGCAAGTGTAATGTTCATGTAAGTGTTATGAGGTGAATAGGTCAAAAGGCTTATCTTTATTTCAGCAGCTTATCTCCATTTTTTAACTCTTCAGTGCAGCTAGATAAAGACTGCGCAGTGCAAGCAGGCCAGAAGCTGTGCTCCACTCTTTCCCTCCAGTCCATATCCCCACCTGTCTCTCCTGCCCTGTTCCAGCATGGACACGACCCAGCCCCCTCTTCCTTCCCGCATGACATCATGGTAGGGAGGAAAGGACTCACAGCTGGTCAGGAAATATCTCTCCTTTTTCCAAATCTGGCTGTTATTTTGACAACACGGCCCTGGCTGCCAGAAGCCTCTGCATCTCGCACTGGGAAAGCGGATCTCATCCTGTGCCAACCCTAACTCATTATAAGTGCACCCATACAGTAGGATCAAAGGCACACAAACTATCATTGTGTCTGCAGGATGTACAGGGAAACCCCCTTGAACTGTGGAAGGGCTGAAAACACAGTAAGGGATTTTATAAGAGATTTCGCCACACAGCAGCTATTTCTTTGCAGGGCTGGCCTTGCAGAGTCAAAGCAATGGGTCATACTTGGCCCAAGTGTATGTGTGCCCAAGAGTTGTTGCCAGAGTTTTCAAGGCAATTAGAAATGCATCTGAGGGGCCCTTGTGCCACTTTAAACATCTGCATGTTTTAGGGCTGCCTTCCTCCTTCTGAGAAACTTCTGTCTGGAAAAGCATTTGCTTTGCTTTTGGTTGTGTTTGTGAGTTTTCCTCAGCCTGGGAGCAGTGGGAGGAATCTATCTCTCTCTTTCTGCATTGTTTTTGTCTCGAAAGCCATTATTTGTAATCTTCCCTCCTCCACAAATCCCAGGGAGCCAATGCTGATTAAAACTTACATTTCTGAGGCTTATGCTGCAGTTCTTTTTCCTGGGAAACTGTGCTGACAGCATATCCAGTGACTAAGGAGATGGGCACAGAGCAAAAGCCGTGCTGAATGCATTAGAAACCAGACCTCCACAATCTCAGCCAGGCAGCTCCACCTCCCACACTTGTCTTGGAGATCAGGCCAGTCAAGGATTGCAGGAGTCCTTAAATTATAGGGGTGTCAATTATTTTGTCACTTGGTCATAGCGGTACAAACATTTCAAAGGAGAGGAGAGGCATGGTGTGTGATTAGATATCCTGAGATTAACTCCTTGGCTCCACTGAAAAATAATCAGTTAGGTTTTCCACTCACATCAGTCCCAGCCAGATGGAACTCCACTCATTCACTGAGATTACCCTTGGGTGTAATTTTTAGAAGAAGGAAAAGCCCCGGGTATTTTTTATATCCTCTTCTCTTGAGACTGAGGTTGCTCTAAAAGGTATCCTGAAGAGTCATGAGGTTTTGCTGGGAGAGAGAGGAGAATGAGGATAGATTTCTGTTCATATCCAACAGTACTCAAATTCATATTATTTGTGCAAAGATGTTTCTTTTCGTTCCGGTTTCTCTGGCCTTCTATTGTACTCTGTCATGTGGATTTTAAAGAGGATGTTTTACATAAAAGAGATAAAATCATCTAGGTTATTTGGATGTTACCATTCAGATAAAATCAGAACAATTGAATCAAAAGAAAAATGTGGAAGAAGTGTTTAAAAATTGTAAAAAAACAAACAGAGGCTCTATATTTGTGTCTGTCGCAAGTTTCATGTTTTTTTTTTTCTTTAAAACCTCTTCTCTTGCATTTGGAGAATGATATGAAAATATCTTCTACTTACCTACATACATGTGCTTATATATGATAGCTAGGAAGTGAAAGCATGAAAGCCAAACCAGCCCAGAAGGATTTCCAGGCACTGGTACAAGCCTGGACTGTTCTCACAGTCCAAGATCAGAGGGACATCCTAGGCTGGGCAGGGGTGCACAGCCCCCATCTGATGAGAACCCACAAACTGCTCTGCCCTCTGTGCAGCCTTTCCTTCTGGCCACTCCTTTCACAACATTTTTCTTTATTTAGTGGCCTGTGGCAATTTTTCATGGCAAGGTGGTATCCATCATGTTTTTTGGCACTCAAATCCTCTAAGCTTTTGGGTGCTATCTTGACAGAGAATGATGCATAGTGCCAAACAGCTGATTTTGATCTGTTTGCATCTTGTTCTGTGTAGAGGTGCTCGAAGAGTGCCACACAGCTATCTGATTTTCAAGCTCTCAGTTTAAATCCTGTTGCCTAGGTGAACTGGAGTTTTAGATGCAGACTGATCTGTTATCTCAGAGGGGGAAAAATTGAAAGAGGTATTAATGTGACATGAATGTGTTTACAAATCCTGGGTGAGGTTATGACTTAGCTGTAATTCTCTTCTACACACGATAGTGAGTTCAGTCCCAGTGACTGAGATGATTTCTGCTGTTCCAGCTTTGTCACAGGTACAAAGCAGAAAGTGCTTGTGCCATATAATTTTTTCCCTTCAATGGCCACCTTTCTGTCTCTTTGTGAGCTGAGTACCATCCAGCTCTTGCAACTCCCTCTCAGAGCAGAGGGGATGGGGGAGAGAGTGAGCATTCCCTCACTGGCATTGCTTCCCATGATGCAGAGAGGCCCCAAGCAAGGCACAGGGGCTGCCTACACAGGCAGCGTCCTGGCTACCACAGACCCTGCATAGTCCTCTGCTTCTCCTGTGGTGTCTCTCAGCAGCTTACCAAGCTCAACACATTCAGCACAGCAACGGGTGCTGCATTCCCACCATCTCCCATCTCCTGCCATTTTGCCTGAGACCGGCACATGCTCATGGTGTGAATCTGTTTCGAAAATGAGATCCCTGAGTGAGAAGGGACACTTTGGAAAGGAGGGGCTTTGATGTCTTTTCTTTAATATCCTTCTCTCTGAACAGCCCATATCAGCACTTCTCCCTCTCTGCAATAGTTCTTTATAACTCTCTCAGCAGAAAATACAAAGGACCTTTCTCTGCCTCCCTGCTTCCAGGAGAAGTGAAAGCAGGTCCCACCAAGCTGTGCAAAGCATGAGCTGTCGCTGGAGCTGCTGCAGGCAGGGTCTCCAGCAGGAACTGCCATTTGGAAATAGAGACCCAGCCCTGGCACTGGCCTCTGCCAAGGTGGCTGTGCCAGGCAGCTCCTGCCTACCAGCACAGTCCCCACCTGCCTGCTCACCACACTGCCTTTTGTTGTCCAGGTTTGCAGGCTAGTGGCCCACACAGCAAATTAGCAGAGAGGGGCACAACAGCTGGATCCAGACACATCATCCAATACCCATGTTTTCAAAAATATTCAGGCTGCTTCAGGTCACTCAGTTTTTTCCAGCCTTGGAAGCTCCAAGTGTTGATTCTTTGCTCCAAAAGCACTAATGAGCAGGGCAAGGCAGAACTCACTTACTTGCATTTATTTTCTGCTGGAAAATAAACCAACCATTTTCTTTATTCCTCTTATTTTCTTGCAAAGACTAATCATTCCCTGGTTTCAGGAATAAGAAATGAGAAAGTGATGGGATTCATGGAAAGGTTGAGCTACACTAAATGGTTAAAAAGAGACAGGAGTTTACATGATTAAAAATAACTCGTGCACACCCACTCCTGACCCTGTAGCCCTGGTCTGCATTTAGAGCCAAGGGAGATCTCACCCATGAAGGCAGTTATTCAGTATGTAGCTCAGATGTCCAAAACTGGCCATGTGAATGACACTAAGGTCATGCAATCACCCCAGGTGACTGCAAACCTCATCACTGCAGCTGTCTAAAATTAAATAAGATTCATTCCACCTAAAGATGCCCAAAATATCACTGTTAGGACACTAACTAGTTCTTGAAGAGATTAGTGCTCCCATCCTGGGTAAGAATCTTGCAGGCAGACACAGAGCTGGGATCAAAACTGTTCTGTGTAGATCTGTGATGTCTACAAGGTAATTATTAACTCAGATCTAATAATTTCTCTATGATGAGGAAGTGTATGTTTTGTATTTTCTTATTCCCTGTATATATCCCCTGTGACCTAGACATCCCATCACAACAAAAGCCCTAGGAGTTAATAGCAGATAAATATGCCAGCATACTGTGGAAAGCTCACCTGAAGGAACTCATGGCAAAGGCACTTTACTGCTTAGTTCCTTTTAAAAAGCTGTTATCCCATTAAAGCCTTTCTGAAAGATTTCACTCAGCAACTGTCACACTGCTGTCAACAGCTCACACTACAATCCAAAGGCTTTCCTTAGGCTAGTGAAAGGTCTGCCTGCAAGGTGGAAAAATCTATAGGAATTGCTAAATTATGTCTCTCCAAGGTAGCTGGTGTGGTAAGGTTTAACCAATGGTGACAAGAGCGCGTGCAGTGCACAATGGCAGGAGGTTTCACTCGAGGATGTCCCATGTGCCACAACAACCCACCACATGTTAGCACCCTCTGAGTGCTTGGAGCACTGGAGGTTGACTGGTGTCCTTCTCTCTCCTTCAGGGATTAGCCATGCTGATGCCCGTCAGCCTGGAAAATCTCCCAGCTTCAGCGTGAACTGGATTGTGGGGAACACCGACGTGGAGGTTATCAATGCCACGACGGGGAAGAGGACCTGCGGGAGTCCCTCACGGCTCTGCAAGCACATGTTCTTCACTCGCTGGGCCAAGCTTCATGGCAAGGTAGGTCTGGTGCACTAAGAGGCTTGTTATTAACTGTCCTGAAGTCCATGTAGAGCTAGAGAAGGTGAAGACAAGAAAAAATTATTTTATTAAGTGCCAAAACCTCTTTCCTATTGGGAAACGAGTGGAAATGAACAAGATGGAGCAATGGTACGGAAATCTGGAGACACTCCCATCAGTGAAGTCATTAAGGAAGGAAAATGAACCTGCAGGATGGGGAGATTTGATGACAAGCCCAAAGGGGTTGTTCTGCTCTGCAGGAGACCCCTTGGGAAGGAGGCTCATGGGTCTTATCCCATCCCAGGCAGTGGCATGGTCTGTCCTAGCAGGGACTCTGAGCCTTGAGGGGAAGAGGAGAGACTGACCTGGGCTTTGTGCCCAGGGCTTAGTCACAGTTCAGTGACACAGGTCCCAGCCTATTTCTTGCACAGAAGGTGGGAAGCGGGGTGAGGAGCACTCCTGTCACCCCCAGAATGGAGTGATCCTCACAGGAACAAAACCATGGCCATGTCTAGAACTATGGCTGAGAGCACTGGACTGCATCTGGCTCACACCAGGGATGAGGCTGGAGTGAGCAGGAGGGAATAACTTGTGGCTGAACAGGGCACTTTGCTCTTGACAAAACAAAGCATTTGATAATGTCATCAGTGTCCACCTCTGGGGAGCAAAGGGAACAAAGAGGCAGCCAGAGGAAAGCCACTGCCACCAGGCCAACTTATGGCCCAGGGACACTCAGGCCAGCAGCGTCGCCCTCCCTTGTTGGCTGGGCCAGTACAGCCCCAGCCAGTACAACCCCGTGGAGTGCTGGCACACACAGATGGGAGCAGCTCATTGCAGACTGCATGTTCACATTCTCCTTTAATCTGTCTCTCAGCATTTCTCTGTTTAGAGAGAAGGAAAAGGGTGCTCTTTGCTCCCCAACCTGTGCTTTGAGGGTGCTCTTCCCTGCAGGGTGCTATTCCCCTGTCTTGTAAGCATTGGACATTCACCCAACTGCTTGTTCCAAGGCATTTTTCAGACTTTCATTTCTTTTGCAAAACATCAAAGCCTTACTGCTGGATTGGCACTGACTTGGGCAGGAGTCTCTTTATTTTGTCCTTCTGCAAAGCGATGGGTGCTCACTCCTGCGTGTCCTTCCAGGGGATGAGGGGCACTGGACACGTGGTGTTGCCTGAGGTATCTCCTGGTGGGTGACTCCAGTGCTCAAGCAGAACACTTGGATTTCCTGCACCAACACAAAACCTGATACCTGATTTCTGCCTTGTCCAGGGCATGTTTCACAGCATTTCCACCAATAACAGATTACAAAGAGGAAATGGTAGAGTGTGGAAGGTGACCCTCCTTCTTCTGTCTCTTACCATTACTTGGAAGTGCTGAGCTGCTCCGCTTCCCTGGCTAAACTGAGCACATTCTTCAAAGATCTCCAGAAGGGATTTTTTTTTCCTTTTTGTCTCTAAAAATCATCTTAACTGAGAAGTAGAATCCTGCCTTTGTAGAACACATCAAGATTTGCTACTGCCTATGCCTAATCCAAGGCAAAGCTGTTCACCCCTTTGCTCCTTGCAATGGCTCAAAACCATGTCACTGTCATTTATTGCTCCTCTGTTTTTTTCGTTTGTTAAACTGAAAGCAAACACACAAAGCACAGCGATAGTTTGTTTTTTGCGTATGAAATGTAAGAAGATTATGAGCTACTGAAGCCTCCTGTTTCTTTTGGCTTGTTGGTTGGTTTTTTTATTATTATTTCATTTTTTCCCCCTTTTCTGATTTTTGTTCTGCAGCTGAGCACACGAGTACTAAGCCATGGAGACATGCCATCAGTGTACAGCGAAGCAAAGCTGGTGGCTCAGACGTACCAGTCTGTTAAGCAGCAGCTGTTTAAAGCATTTCAGAAAGCTGGTCTGGGCACCTGGGTGAAGAAACCCCCAGAGCAAGATCAGTTCCTACTAACTGTGTAAATCACTCGGCATCTTGGCTACACGACTGGATCAAATCAGCTGGAGAGAAGGCAAGGCAGGACGCATGAGCAGAGCAAATTGAAGCAGTTTGAGATTTAATAGCAACCTCCATTGGAATATTTGCTTTTAATTCTGTATTGGAAATACATAAGTAGAAATGTGTCTGATGCACTGAACTCAACCTTAGAAAACTGCTTTTCCATGATCCCTTCCCAAGAATGTACCTGTCCAAATTGCAGTGCCATCCCCACCAAGATTCTGCTTTTCTTTTTTTATTGCTGTTGGTTATTACTGATTTGAGGTGTTAGTGGGCCACCTATCTGATCAGAAATAGAGTTTGTTTTCCTTCACACAATCAGTGCAAGAGTCATCACTGAATAATGGAAAATAGTGAGCAGAGTTGGAAGTACACTGGGCACACAGCATGGCAGCAGGTCTCAGAGCACCCAACAATCATTCACAATAAAAGGTATCTAACCTCTATGCAAAAATCATCCTGCTAGCTGCCTAAATCTGTGAGAAACAATTTGGACCTCAAAGATATGCAGCACTTTTAAACTCCATTTTCCACTGCTGGCTGTAGGCGTCAGGATGCCCTTGGTTTTTACACATATTCCCTCTGACGCCTTGGAGAACCACTTCCCACCAAATCTTCAGCTCTGGTCACAAGCTTTTGCATTCTGTAAATTTTACTTGTCCAGGCTCAATTCATCACACATGCCCTTTAGACACCATCTAGGATGCAGATCCTTGTCAAGAGGGCGATTCAACCCTACACTGCCTGAAGACCGGTGAGACAATGCTGCTGGCTCTGGATCTTCACGTAGCTGCCTAAACTCAGGCAGGCTGCAACCAGGACCAAGCCAGATTTCCAAGCTTCTGATGATCCACAGCTCTGAATTAGGTGGGTGTGAGCTCAGGATGCTCCATGCATCTGAACAATCACTGGGTTGGGTACCCACAACTAAGACATCCCCAAACGAGAGAGCACATCTGATACGTGGCTCTTTCCTGCCTCAGTTTCTCCACCTGTAAAATGGGGATAATAATGCTTAAATGCTTCACATCTAAGGAACTTGGCAGGATCAAAATGCTCTGGTTATATGCAACAGTGTAAGCCAGATTCTGTCACTCTTGCAGTGAGTTTTACCTCCCCATACAGTCCAATTGACATAAGCACAGCAGATGCATCTACAGGCTTGGGTAAGGTCTTACTGAATGCATGAGCTTTCAGATTCCAGCTCTGTGTAAATGCCAAGTGTTATTATTATTATTATTCATGTTCATCTGCAGCCTGAAAAGCAGATGGAGTTTTTCACTTAGGAGACAAGTATCCCCCAACAGTTAAATATTTTTTTCATAACTGTGGCTGGGTCTGATACAATCTCATCTTTGAACCATCCCAAATTTCATCAGAACACAGAAGATACAGTCAAGAGAGAACTGAGCTTTGACAGTACCACTGAAAATCCAACCTTCAAATGCCCTGTACATTTCTCTAAGTTTTTAGGTTTTTAGATGACAGGATTTGCGGGTATATGACTACAGTTTTCTTTTTATTCCTGTGATTCTCTTTAAATCTGTATATAACATGCTGCTACTGATTTGTGATAATTGTCTTGGTATTTTCTCAGAACTGTCAAGCTGAGTTACTTTTCAAACAACACAAGGCTCATATTTTTCCATGTAATTTCCTTTACACAGAAACTGTTCCTATCAATAAAGATAGATGCTCTTTGTATAGGGTTTATCATGTTTGGAGAGCCATATACAGTAAATACATTGTTTATTGATGCCCACAATAGAATAGCTACAGTATTTTGATGAGATTTTATTTTTAGATTATAAACTACAAGATGTATCTATAGTGTCTTGTATAAAAACAATTGTGATAAACTAGAATTTTTAAATTAGATAAAACAAAGCTCTCCCCTTCCAGAAACCTTTTCAACAAAATAATACATTCCATATTAACTACCAAAAATATTTAAAAAAATATCCTTAGAGTAGAAATAGTTTAAAAAAAAAAAAAAAGAAAAGAAAAAAAAAATCAACCAAAAACATGAGATGTTTCAATAATGGAAACACCTTGCGGTAACCACTTTATCAGTACTTTGACCACTTTGTCAGCTCTGCTGATTAACATTCAGAATATTTTTGGCACCTTCTGGAGCTTCCAGGTACCTCCACATGGTCCTGACCTCTAACACAGCTGTCACTGGTGCAGACCTCCAGCGTGACGGGTGCCCAGAGGGGCACTGGGCAGGTGGGGGGCCAGGCCCATGACTGGAGGTGTTGGACAAGCTGCCAGTGACATTGGCAGTGGTGGTTCCAGGGGCTCTGGCTGCTCCCACCAAGGGAGAGAAACCACAGGGCAATCAGAGAGGAGGACAAGGTTTTCTCATGCAGAGATCCACAGGGCAGGGGAAGCACGTCTTCTGCTTTTCCTCTCCAAATTCATCCTTATCTAGCACACAAGAGACCTCAATCGTTCTTCCTTACATCTCCCTGCCCTCATTCATCCTCCTCCAGCTATGGCATGATGTCAACTCAGTTAATGCACATAGTTCCACAGGCTGGTGTTGCAGCTCCTGTGACAACAAAGCACCATGCCTGGTTATTTTTAAGGACATAAAGAAAATCGCAGTGGGACTGAATTAGCCTTTGTGGCAGGAAATACATAAATGCAACCCTGGATTCAGCTGCCAGAATAAATTTAATACTGGGGACCAAACTGAGTACCCCCTGCAAGTGGGCATCAGCTCATCTCATTGAAGGCAGTGGAGTTGCACCTCCTTGCACCAGGGTTGGATATGACCTTAAATATCTATTTCTTCTCATTATGTGCAGCGACAGTGTGATGGGACCTCATCCCAGAAGCACACATGACCTACATGCAGCATTTACTGAAGCAAAGGAAAAAACGCTCAGTAGTAATTCTGCAGTGAAGACTCTGTACATAACCCGCATGAATGAATGGCAATACTGTACTAATGGATGTACATTTGTAATATTTGTAAAAAAAAAAAAAAAAGAAAGACAAAAGACAACGAAAGAAAATAAATCTGAATTTACATATGTGAATTTGCTGCTAAGTTCTGTAAATTGCACTTCAGTGATACCTGATAAGTGAATGTTTCTGTTAAGTGAATAAAATGCCAAGTAAAATTGTTCTTTCACTGTTTGTTGACCATTTTTCCCTATGACTTAGCAATCAATTGGAATGTGCTCCAGAGTGCTAGTATTATTTTTGCACACACATACGGTAGATCTATAGACATATTCAGTTTAGATTTGATGCACTGTGGGAATCACACACTTGTACTGAGAGAGGGAGATCTGCCTTCTTATGTAGATGAAGCCATAAAGGGACATAAATTGTTATCCTGGAAGAAAAGTGAACTGGGTACATCTCTAATTTAATCCTTCCAGGTTACTCTCAGAGTTCTTTCTTAATAAAAATTAAATACATTTTTGCAAACTCACACTACATAGGACTTGGTGTATAAAGCTGCTTAAGAAAACCGAAGTGATGAACAAAAGGTCAGTACCTCTCTGCAGATTTCTGCTTCATTGATGGAGTGGCCTTGGATTACTCTTGCTTTGAACAATCAATATTCAGATACAGCAGACTAATGTTACACTGAACCCAAAAGACACCATCCTCACAAAGGTTTAACACTGTTGTATGACCATCCCCTGGTGCCTTGAGATGATTGCCCTTGGCCAGTCCCCATAGAGATCACTGGCGTTACCAAAGCATCCAAAGCCTTTCAGCAGCACGCACTGTCAAAGTATGAATACACTATCAGTGAAAATTGGCTATAAAGAGATTTCCCCATCCCTCTCCTTGTGAAGATTTGGTTCCAAAATGGAATTGAGACCAGGAGATCACAGGGAGCCCCACCAGCTCACTGGCCCCACAGCTCCTTGCTTGCTCTTGTTGAAGAAGTTGGTGCTGGACCCTCCCAGACCATCCCGTGGGTTTCATTCCCCAGCAGGGGATATACTTAGCTTTATTTTCAAATGAAGACTTTGCTGCAGTTGTATTTCTTTAGCTTGGATCTCTGTCATTAGGTGTTTGGGTAGGATAAGGAGGAGAGAGAAGAAGAAGCATTGACAGGGTGAAGTTGCTTGTGTGGAAAAAACGTCACTGTGAGCTGACCCGATTCCATCAGCCATGGTGGACTTTTGCCTTCAGCAAAAAAGGCCACAGATTCTCAGTATTTGTCAGTCTCAAAGTGTATTTGCACACATCAGTTTTACTGCTTTAACTGGATATATGTAAAGTAAACCCCATAGTCTCATCCTCACCACAGCCGTCTCTACCAGTAGAAATGGTCACGGCAGTGTAACGCTGTCCTAAAGAGACAGGAGAGAAGCTACACCAGTGGAAAGGCAGCTTGTGCCATTATCTGCCCTCAAGATGAGGAGCTTATTATTTTAGTGTCAAAAAATGTGTACACCTGAATTCTTCATTTGGCAAAAGCTGCCCACAGCATCAGCTTTCTTTGCAGAGGGGCTCTGGAGGGAACGTGTTGAGACCTGCTGTGGCCATGAAGAGCAAAAGGTGGAGGTGAGGAGGTCTCTGTGGGGGCTTCCCAGAGCCTGGCAGTCCCTCAGCCCATTCCTGGGCAGTATGCCCGTGGCTGGGAGCACAGCAGGAGGCTCCCAGCCTGATTTCTCCTCCTAAAGTAACTGCTGCTGCCTGACCATGGCACACACCGTGACACAATTTGGCTGCCGAAAACAACTACAAAGCAGTCATTAGGGTAAATTGTGTGAATGGATTCCGTGTTTAATCTCATTAAGTTTAAAGGCTAAATACCAGAACTGCATTTAAAACTTTACAGGTGTTCACTCCAGCATCATCAGGCACAGTTATTTCTTTTCCAAACTGTATACTGGAAAAGCAACAGCATAAAACATGAACAAGATGATATATTGACTAATAGAGGGCTTCAGAGAAGTGCCTGTTTCTCAAATAAAATAAATAAGTCCTTCTGCTGCAGTTAAAATGTGATAGCTGTGGCTGTATGTTGAAGAATGAAATGGCAATTTAGGAGCTTTTTAAGCTTTTTGATTCATTACCATTGTGCCTACTGTCCAGCCCCTTGATTACTTTGGCTGGTTTCAGCTTGATCATCATGTGGATATACGAGTTTAGCTGGAAATCAGAGTAAAGTCGGAGAAAATCTGAGACTTTTTAAAGGGTAGTGACAGTCTGTTTGGATGCAAACAGAAAAAAACCCGAACAACACAAAGACATACAAGCAAATGCACACCCAGAGATACAGGTGGTTTCTTAGTACTCCAAGGCCTCCTGAATAAATAATGTGGCCTTGGAGAAAGGGGGTTAATAATCATTGTCTTTTCAGCAATGAAATAGTTCTGCTCAAATGCTTCATTCAGCCTGGCTTTCCTGGTAATTAAATCCTCTATTAGAGAAGTTTATGTTCTATTTTATCAACTTCCTTTGCAATATAGAATTACTTCCACTAGACCATTAAAGCCTTGTTCTGCCATGGAAAGAGAAAGTCCTGTTCATTCTCCTCTGGCACTGAGCAGATGCCTTTACAGCCTATAATGCCATGAAATGATCCAAGCCGAGAGGAGACAAACCCTTCCTTTACACACAAATTTACCAAAAAATATGTCCCTCAAAGGAAAATAAATATGTGAAGAATGGTACATACTGCTGGGTTTGACCAGTTCTTCTGAGGGCTAACTGGTGCCTACCTCTCCATCTCCTGCAACCTCAAAGTCATGCTCAGGTGTTTGCATGGGCTTCATTTGACACACCATGAAGGAAGTGGTGTAGGTGCAGTACTCTTCCTTCCCAGCACCACCAGCCCAACTACACCCAGCCCTACCTTCCATGGCACACTCTCTACTACTAATTGCTTTTATTTCATTTTTTTTAACAAATAAATTCAGTTGTTTACTCTCTTAAGAGTGTTAACTCTTAAACCTGTAAGACAACGCATTTTTACTGTGGACTCTAAAGTAAATTGGTTTTTTTTCTAAGGCAAATAGTTTATTCATATCCTGGTCTCAGTGGTAAAGGGAAATATTTTCAGGAGTAACAGCAGCATCCCCTTGATACCACAAGCTCCTAAAATTCTGACTATCACACAAAATAGTGGGACTTGGGCTCCTAAATCTCAGGGTTCAGTGGGAGATGAGATGATATTCAAAAGGGACTTGCTAACCTAACTTTCATTGTCAACACTAAGCCCCACATCACTGAGTACCAAACCCCTGCTCAGCCTCTGATGCTGAATGTCCTATAAAGCCTATACATCTTCGGGGCATGCTTGACTTGGCTGCCTGTGTGTGGTCAGGTGCTGATCCCCACCACGCTTTGACCTGTCCAGATTCATGAACTACACCTATACTTTCTACTTGTGATCCTCTCAAAGCCTCTACAAAATCACATCCCAGCAAAACAGGAGGGTCCTTTTGCACTGAATGCCTCAACTGATAAACCCCTCAGGCTGCTACCTAAAGGACAGTCAAGTATCACAATCACCAGAAAGTTAGGCATGGGAGAGGATGTGTCTCATGTTTACATAATTTCAAAATATACAGAAGAAGCTAAATAATTTGTCATTATAATTAGATAATGAGAGAGAACAAAGAAGACTTGATAACATAGCTGGTTTGGGGATACTTACCTGGGAAAGAAGACCTGAGTTCTTGTCTAGATTTTATCCTCTGAAATGAGGAAGAGGTGAACAAGTGAAGAGTCCCAGGTGGAGGAGCAGCTTCACTCCAGGCAACAAGTTCACAGGACAGGAAATAGTTCCAGGACCATTTTCACCTTAACCGTTTGATCCACCCAGAGGACAGGTGTTTAGTTTGAATCCATTTTCTAAGATCCCTGAATAGAGAAAAATGGATCCATAAGGTGATTCATGCCACTTAAAACAGTGCCTAAGAGACACTGAGAACTTGCCTTCTCAGGGGTCTGTCTTCTCCCACCGATGGGAGAGGGAATCTGGACTCCTGCATTCAGAGGACTGGGCATGGGAAGGTGACTCCCAGCCAAAGCATCTGCAAACCATAGGGCCTTCTGTTTCTCCATTTTAAAAACCAGTGATTATTCCTTATCACAGGAAGATGGCTTTTGAGTATTAATAATATCAGGATGTAAGAAAATAATACAGTGTGTGTATATATATATATATATATATATGCAACAGATTGACCTCCTTTTAACAGTAAGTGTGAACATTTTCAAATTCTGTAAAAAAGGTTTTCCAGCCATCAGTTTTGGTGGTTGACTAAATTAACATATATTGTACCTATTTAGAGGTTTGGTGAAGGATTTTATTCTCAACATAACTTTGCTCCCACTGACATCATTGAAAGGGTCATTATTGGCAGAAAGCAACAGGGTTAGATGGATACAAAATTCATGTTTCACCTTGAGAGCTAAGAGTATTAATTCCATGTGAACCTTTTTTTGTGCCAAATCTTCATTCCTAGCCCAGACACATCTGTACACACTTGAAAACCAAAATCATACATCACTGCCATCTGAGCCTTTGCATTAGAATGTCCTTGTGGTGGCTCAGCATTTCCCAGACCTATTTTTTTCATCTGACCCGGTACCTCTGACCTTCTAACAAGTGAAAATACACTGGAAGAACCTTTCTCATTATTTGGAACATTTCCGTACAAGTTCAGCTCTGTTTTCTGTGTGTGGCTTTCCTAAAATATTCTTTTATCTCCTTTTTCAGTTACTTAAGGGGTGAGGCACAGATCAGAAGTAGCTAAACTGTACATCTATTGGTCTCATCACCTGCTGGTCTTACTTGAAGAACTGTGGAAAAAGAGAAGACTGAATCATTCCGAAAATGACCCTTTTTCACTCAAGGAAGGATGTGGAGATCACTATATCCCAAAAAATGTTAATGAAAGGCAAAAAAAAAAAAAATTTGGCTCACTAAATGGAACTGTTCAACTAAGGTAAAACTCTGCCACCTAAATGCAAATCTATTGACTTCAAAGGACCTAGACTAGTGGAACTGAGCAGAATTCAGTTTATGAAGGGAATTAGAGGGTTAAGGTCACAGGAAAAAGGTACATGAAAAGGCTTCATCATTCCCTCTCCTTGTGCTTTCACAGAGCAACTCAATGATTTGCACCACTGAGCGCCGAATCAGC